AACAGGGAACGAAACAAAGAAGAACACCAGAAAACAAAATCAACAGAAAAAAACCTAAATTGATGCAATATTATACATGTATTCGTTCATCTAAATATCAAAAAACTGAATCAACGCAAATAAACAACCATTCAACTCCTCAACACATATAAAATCGAAACCAATCGCCCAGAGAAACAAAAATTAAGAAGAAATTCCAAGGGACTGCAAAGAAAAATCGAGAAGACGAATTTGGGCTGAAAACGGCGAGGAAAGGGGAAATGTAAAGCAAATGGTTTGGTTTTCTGAACAAAAGGGTAGTACTGTAATTTTGCTACCTTTTAAAATTAATTAAATATTACAGTGAGTTATTTGGACACATTTTAAAAGGGTGAATCATTTGAGCATTCCACAAACTTTTGAAGGTCATTTGAGTCAATTTCCCAGACAAGAGCCTGTTTAGAGGAGCCCCAAGAAAGCACAAATGTTTTTGCACCAAAAATATTCTCGGTTCACCAATCCTGAGTCGATGGGTTGGGTCGGTTTTTAAGGCTGAAATCCCAACCGACCGATATGTTGTCCGCTTAAATAAGATCTAACCAACCAATCATATGGTAAGTTCGGTCGGTAAAATGCAATAGACCGACGCTGTGGAATTGAATGACGGTGGGGATTGGGTCTCAATAGTGGTTAGGTCAGGGTGTAAAATGACTAGGTGCAACGGATCCAAAAATTTAATTTAGATAAAATAATATAGGATAAATTATTTTAAAGTATGTATACGTTCATAAAATATGGGTGTAATCATATTACACACTAAAATACAAGCTAAGTATTTTTCCTAAACTGACTTTTATATCAGATGTATTAGAATTAGTATCATCTTTGCTTTCTCATTTTTATTTTATAATATTTTTCAATATCGATTACGTTTCTTCGAGTAAAAAACTTTATATATTCTTTAAAAGAGAAAGAAATTGGCAACTAAATTGTAACTTTTCCTGACAAGTCCATTTATACTCACTAAACCTAAAATCTTTAGGTTTTAAAGGGATAGCCCATGAAAATGTATAAGGGTGGCTGAAAATATATGCCATAAAAAATAACTAAATAAACACACCAGATGCAAATCAGTTAATAAATGACCGGAATATAATAAACTAATTACCATTAGAAGAGTCGAAGACTGATGCAAGAGCATAAATTATTAGTTGCAGAGGCATCATGTTGCAAGAGGATGGCACCACCTACGGCCATGCTAGATAACTATATTATCTTTTTGTTTTCTATTTTTAAAATATTTCATAAATACTATTTTCGTTTACCACTTATCTATTTTGTTATTTATTAAAAACATTTTCAAAATCTGTGCCTATTTGAAAACTCACAAAACAGTTTTGAAGATTATTTTTTGTTTATAACATTTTAATTTTGGCTAAAAATTCTCATGTATCTTTTTTAGAAAAAAAGCCAACATCATTTTTTAAAATAAAAAACTATAAACGAAACTATTACTAAAATAATTAGAGTTCACTATCGTTACCTATTTGTTTGTTTAGGCGGTGTCATCTCTCCTGCAACATGAATCCTCCAACTCATATATTTGAGTTCTTCATCTCCGATAAATTAAATACTCCAACATAAGTGATGGTTTACAAAATTGGAATCCCTTCATTTATATGCATAAGTTTCTACCATGCTCGGTAAACTTTCTCATATGATATTAATTAAATTAGAAATTACTGAGAAATTGCTTTCTTGGTGAAAGGAAATTACCAAATGGGAACGATTTTCTAAAAAAATTTTTGACAAGCAAACTTTGAAATAGTGTTAATTAAGAAAGTTTTAAAATAGGAAATTTACTTGAACTTGCTACCATGCCATTCTAGAAGACGAACCCAATAAGTTTCATACATTAACCCACAGGTTTCAATTTCTATTGATTATTTTTTTATAAAATAAAAATATAAGTGATTTCATAAATGTAGACTTTATAAAAAAATGTCTCCTAAACTGTGTTCGTAATTCTAGCAATGGCCTTTGCAATAAATAAATTTAAAAAAAAAAAAGATTTGTATCATTAAAATAATTTTATTGTTTATTATTAGTAAAAAACTATTTGAGATCTTTGTAATTAAGAACTTTCCCATACATATTATTTTACCCAAATAATCTAAGTTTCCTCGGAATACCTCCACATGAGTATAATTATAAGTTTTGTGGTCAATGTTCCTGCCATATATTTAATGGGATAATAATTTTTTTATACAAATTTAATAATAATAATAACGAAATTGGTGTACCAAATTTTTAAAAGCTTTTTTCCTTGTGGAGGAAAAATTCTCATGAAAAGATTAAAGGAAAGCACGAAGACTCGAGAAGTTGATAGATTGTCATTTTCTGCAAATTCTTAAGCCTAGCATTGCTATTCCTGTTGATGTGCTGAAAACTTAGAGTTAGACCTAATTTCTCAGCTATTTATTTTATCTCATCAAACTAACAATTAAATATAATTGTTTAATTTTGTATGTCACCTAAATTTTTTAAATGATTGAAATGGTACAAACCATATAAATTTTATATGTAACTTATAATTAGAGTTTTATGGTAAAAAAAAATTATTACTTTAGGTGCTCTATATCATCAATTTTAATGTCAATGCTTTGATCTTTCACTATGCAACTAAAAAAAATCATGGACCGCTCAACCAAGCATAGTTCAAATGATTAAGACACCTATCTCTTAAGTTCAAACCTCCATCCCCAGGTGAAATCTATAAATTAGGAGGTTTATAAAAGTAGGCACTATCTATTTGATTAAAATGAAAAGCCACCATTTACCTACAATATCTAACACAAGTAACTTAAAAATCTCAATTTCCTCCTCATTTTTAATTCACACTTATTTATCCCTGAATTTTGCATTATTCAAAAAACGCCAAAAACAATTGTTTTTTTATTAATGATTATGAAAATATATGGTATGTTTGGTTAAATTATTATATACTCCTCTGACCTACGAGAAAGAAAGAATATGATATCATATCATCAGATGTCATTCTAGAATAAGTCTCATTATTGGGCTGGACTGGCCTAAATTTAATTASACTACGTCAAACCCAAATTTTTTTTAAATTAAGTATTTCCCTTTGTTATAATTCAAATAAATATAATTCAAGTTAAAAACATAGTTATAATCTTTATGGTTTATAAATTAAATAGCAAGATGGTTTACCTTTACTATTTTTTTTTTTGCGTGAAAATAGGATATCGATGAAAAAAAGTCTGTCATATTTCCTACCTGATCAACTCAAGATTTTGTAGAATATTAATGGGCTCTTCAGTGCCTACAATATCATGAAAATATATACCCTTAACAAATCTATGTCATGTGGAATGATGAGACATGACCTTCATTATCATGAGTCATTACGCGCACAAGCCACAAGCCACAATGAAGGAGCAGTTTCAAAATCAAATGAACTAATTGTTGATACATGTTTATTAAAATTTAAGGTGCAATTTGATAAAATTGAAATGTTAGTGCGTTTGATGTTAAAAAATTATACTTTTCTATTTTTTTTATACTTTTATTGAATTGAATACTATATTCAATAACATTTTTTCCGTCACAAATAGAAATACTACCAAGATTAGTTCCCCTTCATTTTGGAAATAATTTTAGTCTGAATATAAATTGGGTTTAATTAGGGAAGTTTTAAACTTAATGCAATTGTTAATTTTGGTTTATTTTCAACTTTTAAGCAAAGGATAATATGCATATACAGCCACCAAATTCTAATTAAATAACCGTGGATGACTTTTTTTTTTTAAATGGTACCAATCACTTTTTCTTGTTTTGTTTGATGTGGAGAATAGACCATTTTAATTGACAAACATTACAATTATGCTCACTTGTAAATGGAAAGTTTTAATGCTTGTTATTTATGATTATAATGTTAGTGAAAAGACAGGAAAATTGAAAAATTTAGAAATAACAACATTGAAGACATACAAAAATTTCTATTCAATAAAGGCCACAAATTCTGGTTGAGATTATATAGTCTAATCATCAAATTTGTAGTCTAAACTTTTTTTCAAAAAAAAGCTTTAATATTTTAAAAAAATAATTAAGTAAAAGATTGATGAGTATAGAGACAAAGCCCAAAATATATATATTTCATGATTCTTCACACGGAAGCCTATTAAAAAGTAAAAATTATCACACTTGGAATTGTCGCTAAGTTATAGTATTTAGTAAATCAATAATGTGCCTGTGTGTTTATTTTAGTTTCAGAATTTTAAAAAGTTTCAATTATATCTCTAACATACTTCACTACATTGGTTAACATTTACTAGGAATGCTACGTAGTATAACACAACAACTGAAGTGTGTCGAGTTAAGTAATATCGACTATCGAGCACGTAGGTTAATCCGATTAAAGTACTCATAGAGAAGGAAAAAAAATCAAACTTAATCCATCCCCACCCCTTTCAACTTACTTCAGTTCAGTTCAGTGCTGTATATGTTAGGAATGGGGTGGCCAAGTATAATAGAGACAACTCAAGTACCAAAAATTGGAAGTAGGAACTTCATGAGCCATTTTACTTTTCCATTTACCACTACTTTCGTAAGCTATTAAAGATATTAAATTCATTCACAGGTACATAGTAGTTCTATCTAAAATGTATTTGAGGATCAGTATTTTTTATGATAAAAAACATTTGTCCTTTCTTGGGGCTCTTCTAAACAGGCTCTTCTCTTGGTTATATATATGCTAAATCAATGAATTCAATTCAATTCTGCCGTTCCTTACGGATTCAAATTCCTCAAATTCTCAATCTCAATGTGGCCACGTTGCTCTGTTCCCATTCATGCCGAAAGGCCATACAATTCCACTTCTACACCTCGTCCGCCTCCTCCGCCGCCGCTTCCACGACCTCTCCGTCACCGTCTTCACCACCGCCGCCCACCGCCCCTTCATCTCCCAATTTCTCTCCGACRCTTCCGTCTCCATCATCGATCTTCCTTTCCCGGAAAATGCGCCCGGCCTCCCCGCCGGAGTCCAAGCCATGCAGACGCTCCCGGAGTTCTGTATGGCCACAAAATCGATGCAACACGACTTCGAAAAACACCTCAAATCCGTTCCCCCAATCACCTTCCTAATCTCCGATGGCTTCCTCGTGTGGACTCTCGAGTCCGCYTCCAAATTTGGCATCCCCCGAATTTCATTCTCAGGTACCTACTGTTTCTTTTTCTTTAAAATATCACTAAATTCAAAACCTTACACGGATCGATTAAATTCTTTTTATCGATGTTCTGTTCTTTTGACAGGCATGTAAAATTTTGTGGACGCGATTACGATGGCGGTAATGAAAGACARCCTCCTCGCCGGAGTTGAGTCCGACGACGAGTTAATCACCGTGACTCGGTTTCCATGGGTGAAGGTCACTCGCAGCGACTGGGATCCACCGGTCAGGCCGACTTTCCACTCCCGATTTGTTAGGGCTTTAATTCAAGACACAATCAGCAGCTACGGATCGATTGTGAATAGCTTCGACAATAGAGAAAGTGGGTTTTAATCTGCCTTTGTCTTTTTTCTACAATTTCTAAGATGTTGATACAAGTAATAACTTTTTTATTTTATTTATTTTTTTTGTCTGGAAGAGGCGCCGGACGGGGGAGGTGTTGGTGGCCGTGCAGTGAGGCTCGATTCTAAAGACTTCCCCAAAGTGAAGAACGGGAGTATGTTTAATGTGTCTGTATTACTTTCATTTCAATATATATATAATATATATATATATTTATTAAGATGTTATACCTCTGTCTTAAAAGTTAATATTTGAATCTTTTATGTTTCAAAAAATATATATATATATTTGAATCGTTTAAGCATGAGTCAATTTTAATATTTATCCACAAATAGGTACAACTAAAAAAGATATATAAATCATAGTAAATTAAATAATAACTTTTTTGAACTATGAGGTGTAATGATAAATTAAATAAGAAGTTCTTAAAACTATAGATTGAATAAAAAAAACAACCCGAATAAAAATAAAATGTACATAATGTTGCAAAGTGATGATGCTCACTACGAGCATTATAGCCAACATGAACATAGTTTTACAGTCAAAGATACATTTTTTATTAGAATAATGTTAATATCTACTACCATTCTAATGAAATTGAGCAAGGTGTGACATGCCTACAATGTTTGCTTAATGGTTGCGGAGACATCTCCGGCATCATGAATTTTCTTTTGATCTTTTTATCCAGCAAAATACTTCATCGTACTAATTTTTTTTCCAGATCTCCCTCCTTTTTCTCCTCTTTCTAAATAATGCCTCTCATTGAGAAGAAGACAACATTTTCAAAGGGATACAGAGAGAGAATATTATTTGAAGATTCTACCTTTCAATTGTCTTAACTAGTTAAACTACTCCAAATCTTGAAGATGAGGTTATTGAAGAAAAGAAACTAAGCTTTCAAAAAATAAAAATAAAAATAAATAATAACACTATTAAAGAAATTAAATAATTCCAAATAAAAATAATCAGTTAAAACAACTCCTTAATAGCTAACAGTTGAAACTGGATAATATACTTATCTCCTATCAAAAAATCATGAGTTCGTATCCTCCACCCCATATGTTATACTAAAAAAAGGAAAAACAAAAAACAACATCTTGACTAAAAAGAAAATTAAACTTAATCGATATGTTTGTCAATGTTCTTGTTTCTTTATTTTATTTTATTTAAAAGGAAATGAAAGTATGTTAGTAACTTTCTTCTTCTCTAAAAATTTGAGATTTAACAAAGTAAAAATTGTATGAAATTTAAATTTTAAAATTAAATATTCAAAATTCTATATTATATTTATTTCTTGATATAGATTATGCATTTTAAAAATAAAAAAGGATGAAATAATAATTTTATTTATATTATAGGAAAAACTTGAAATAGGAAGACACACCCGACTTTGTTTTTCTAAAATTTTTAAATGATAGAAACATAAACAATTACTAACCACTCAAAATCTTGCCAATAATATAAAACAATTTTAGGCAGCAAAGAATTAGAATATTGATACAAATGCAAGATAATAAAATAATAAATTATAAGTTGCAAAGGGATCAGGCCGGCAAGATGGCACCGACTACACAATCAAATCTGGTAAATAAAATTAAGAAAGTTTGTATATATATATATATATATTTTGCTAGATAATTGTCTAGTGAATGCCATCTCTCCTGCGACGTGATTTCTCCACCTCTTAATAAATATTTGTTATGATATGTTTTTTTCCCTACCTCTGCCTCTTTATTTATAGGTTGTAGCATGTCACTCTGTAAAATTCTCATAATTATAATGTTAATTAATAGATTAGGTTTTACTTAGAGTTAAAAAAATCAAATTTATATATATTTTAAAGTGAGGTGGGGAATTCGAACTAATGACCTCTTAACAAAGATATGTGTCAATCATCATTGAGCTAAAACTCATATTTGATAGGTAGATTTTATTGATCCCAAATCAAAAATTTTATTAACGTGTCGCAGGCTACATGAATGAATTAAGTTTCCCGGTAAGTAGAAGACACCTTTCCTTTTTAATATGTGTAGGTTTAATTGTATAAAGAACCACGTTTTTGTAATTTCTCTATTTTACAAACTTTTAATTTTATAGAAAAAAATCTAAAAAAATTTCTACCTTACAAATTTGTATATCATACCTGTCCAGACCAGGATGCGCACCTCCACTAATCTCATGGCCAATTGCCTAGCCTCACAATATTTGGTGCCAAGTTAGTACATGGTCATCATGGGATTTGAACCTTTTTTTTTTAATCAATCTAGTCCATTTGGACCAATGAGTCACATAGTGCAGGATCTTCTATCCCTTAAAACCAATTTGTTGACTAAGGGAATTAAAACCGATGCCAATTGTGTTTTTTTGCAGGAATCATGTAGAGACCGTGACTCACTTATTTTGGGAGTGCAAGGTATCAAAACAACTTTGGGATCATTACATGCATTTTGATGGGGGCTGTTGAGGACTTGGTCGAGTAAAGACTTCTGGGATTGGATGCTTGATAAGGATAAGGACGAGGAGCTAGAGATGATTATGATCGGGTCGTGGATTATTTGGAACCATAGAAACAATGTGGTCTTTCGGAGCGAGCAACCTAGTTATCTCACATTGATACAGCAGATTTCAAAGGCCATCTCAAAACATACAACAAGATCCATATAGATTCTCAAGCGGGCAGATCGAATAGGAAATTCAAAGTCAAAACGAAATGGGTTCCGATCCCCTGCGTCGGAACCTCTTCAACGGGGCAGTTTGGGGTGGGTGCTCCGCAATTGGGATGAAGAAGTCATCCGGGCCGGTAATCGTTTTGTGGATTCTTGCAGTAGTATCAATTTAATCGAAGCAAACGTGATTTTGGAGGGGCCGTGTGCAGACAGATTCGGAGATGGTTGCAAATTTGCTGAATGAGGTAGGCCAAGATCTTACGGAAGTTGGTGGGAGAGGGAGAGTTGGAACAATTGTATCCCTAGTTGGTTGTCTTCTTTGGCCAATCAGGATTTACTTTGATTTAATGAATTATTCGTTCTAAAAAAATGAATCACATCGAATGGATTAAAATGATCTATTTTCAAAAAATCATGAATATTTTGAAAGTACAAGAAGAAAATAATATTTAATGTTATGCTTTTCATGCGAAAACATTATCAAATGTTTGAAGGTAAACCTTGAAATTAGGGTTAGGCAATAAAATAGAAACCACCCCATACTAGTTTTTTGCAAGGTCAAATGGGAAAAATCATGACTTTCTCCCAGGATCAGGTTTAATTAATTTTATAACTAGTTCCTTCAAAAAAAAAATTTATAACTAGCTACTAGCGTGATATATATATATATTTTTAATAAACATTATTTTTTACAAAATTAGTCCAATGATGAAAAATAAGAGAGAAAAAGAGATTTATAAAATAAAAAAATAGAGATAAATAAAGAGCCATTTATTTTTCGGAAGATAGATGTCCTGCATCTATAAATGCCTAGAATTTTAGATGCCAGAATTTTGTCGGATTTATTTTGTATTAAATTTATAAAAGATTTCAAAAATGCATTTATATAATTTATAATTGCATTTAATATAATGATTTATTTAAATTAGTTTAATATTTTTTATATGTTATTTTGTAGAGAAAACTGATTTATATTAACTAAATATAAATTTCTAATGACAATCGTATAATTTATGCTATCTTGAGTGAAATTAATTTATCAGGTATATTGGTCGTAAAAAGATATTGTTTTAAAATATTAATAATGTAATTCCATCCAAATATTAAAAATAAATGAAGATATTATATAATTTAATTACAATTTATTTTACATGTTAATCTAACATACAAATATACTTAATAACATAAAATTATTTATTAGATGATGAGTACATTAATTTATTTTAATTATAAATTTGAAAATAAAAAATAAAGTTTTTTTTTAGAAAAATTAAAAAATTAACTAGAGAAAGAAAATATATTGAGAAAAAAATGAAGAAAAAAAATGTAAAAAGTAGGTGCCCTGCCTCCCATATCGACAAATCTGAGCCACACCAAAAACACCTCATATATTTTGATAGTCTGTTATTTTTCTCTTCAAATTTCAAAGAATGGAAATTTTAGAACAATGGATCCAAATCTATTAAATTTTATTGCATGGGTAAATTCACGATAATAATCATGGACTTCATTCTTAAATAATGATATGTTGAACCATGACATGATCTTCTTCTATACAAAAATTGAAAAAAAAAAAAGAAAGAAAAAAAAGAGAGAAAGAGATCACTCGTGAACTGATCTCACCTCTCTTTATTTGATCAAAATTTGTCCAAAAAAAAAAAACCATAAAGAATAAAGAATAAAGAATGGGTAATTAGAAAAAGAATGAGAAAAAGAAAAAAGAAAACAAAATTGTGATCTACTTCTACCTAGGTAGCCTTTACATACAAATTTGTTTGTGGTCTTGTTTTGGTCTTCTATTTGACATGACTTGTTAGACTGAAGCAAGCTGCCGCGTTCTTGAGCTCAATTCTTGAAACATATTCAGCAGATGATTCTGACACATCTTTGAATGTTGATTCTGCACTGCAATTAATCAAACCCAAAAATATTTCCATCAATTCAATGTTTTCAATGTTGTAGCCAACTTTTTAGGAGGAGAACTATAATTTTTTCGTAATTGTTTTTAAATAAACTTTCTGTTTTTTTTTTCTTGGATTAAAAGTTAGATAAGTACTATTTTTGAAAATTTGTTTATTTGTTTGGTATAAGTGTGTGTTTGTATCATGGTATTAAAAAACTATTCATACCAAATATTATTAACATACAGAATGCTTATATGTTAATTTAAATAATGTTTTGTTAATTTATTACTTTTGTAATCTTTTTAAGAATATCCATCTACATCAATATTTTATTGATATAAAGAGTTGTCTTATTTGGATCTATATGACATAATTTTAATTTAGACGAGTAGTAATTGACACATATGAGTGAGTTTGAATCTCTTGTTGGTTTAAATAAAAAAAAATGTGCTCTTTAACTTAAAAAAGAATGTTTCGGAAAAGAAAACCAGAAAAAGTTATTTTGAAAAGCAGTTAATCAAACACATCCCTACCTTTCTAGAACTTTCTGGAAACCTAGACACTTGAAATTCTTTAAAATGTGGGTTCTAACACATCCTTGCCTTTCCAGAACTTTCTAGAAGTTCAGCTAATACTTAAAAAAAACAAATCTTTTAGTACTTTTCAAAAGATCACGTCATAATAGATTTGATGGTAAAAAAAAATGAACTAAAAACAAAATTATTATCTTAAAAACATTTTAAAGGATAAAGAAAGAAAAACATTAATTGTTGGTTCTCGTAATTACCTAGAGTCGCATCCTTCTTTGGATTCAATATAGGACTGTCGATCATCGGCAATGGTATCAAATGGAATTTCATCATAATCATGAGAAATTTCCATTTCTTGTTGCAAAGGGTAACCTTGAACTGTGGGTATCAAATTAGATTGCATTAGCATGGATTCAACATTACTAATGTTTATTCCATAATTATCGTTGTAATGTTGTTGAATCCTCAACTCCTTCAACATCAATCCATTATTATCATCCTCATAAATCCCACCATTGTTCCCATTTCCAAAAAAATCACTCCCATCCCCCGTCATTTGATTTACCATCAATCCTCCGTTGTATTGTGGCTGTTGTTGTGTGTAAATTGGATAACTCGCGTCCACGATCCCTTCGAGAGGACCGCCACCGACGACGTTGTTATTCATTTGATTTTGAAACTGCTCCTTCACCATGGCTAACCTAGTTTTAACTTGCCGGAGCTCATCGGCAGCCTGTTGTACTTGGTAATGGAGGTGCCAGATGACGCCGCAGCAACCGTGAACCGGAAACCTAGCGCGCATGTTCGACTCGTAGATAATGGAAGTCATCGTCTCATCCTTCTGAGAAGGGTGGACTTGTCGGAGTATCTTCATAATATTGCATACGCCGAAGAGGCGGTGGGCGTTCTGGAACATCTTGGGTTGATCAGCCGGGAAATAGGGCGCCAAGGCGCAGTCTTTGGAGCAGCGGCGACGTTGGTATTTGCAAGCAGCGCAGGCCTGGCTGGTGCCGCCTTTAATGGTCATAATGAGGAGGAGAAATGAATGGTTTAGAGATGAAATGAGGAGCTAAAATGGGTAATTTTGAAGTGAACATTGAGTGGGAGAGGGGCGTGTGGTGGTGGTGGCGCCAATGTGATTGGAAAATAATTTTAGAGATGGAATGGACAGATATTGCATTTAATAATGAGACTAAGTAAAAGGAGTTTGAATGAGTTTTTTCCGATAAAGAAGGGTGGGTGAATCTAGATCTGATATGTGGCTTTTAACTTCCTTTTTAATCGGTTTGGATTTGTTTGATTGAACTGTCAATTTTGATTTTGACCCAACTGAAAATTTTCTCTCTTCTTGCCTTCTACTGTGGAGAGACACTTGCACTGAATTTTTTCCTTACTGTGTTTCTGTTTTCTTAAACTTTGTTTAATTAAGATATACGTGTGCTCCACTTTTGATGTTGGATTCCGAATTTAGGATGTTCAAATTTAGCAAACCTTAGGATTACTTAAACAATTAACTTGATTAAATTATTATTTCACAAGTATAAAACGGTAAATTTTTGTAGATAGCTTTATATTTCACAAAAATGTTTCTTTTAATCATATAGAAGTAATCAATATATTGTACACAATATCTCATTTTCCTTTTCTATTCCTATAATAACTCTATTAGGTCACTACAATATATAGTTTGTATGGCAAATAAGCTTCATTATATTTAAAAGAAAAATGGAAAAGAAAATTATCATCAAAAGTACTCTATCATATATCTTCAAAGATATTAAAGCTACGAAAATAAACAAATCTACGCGGTTTGACGATTCCATAGAAAGATTATGTTTCAATCTTGATCATAAAAAAGGATCAACTATTTCTAGGATAATATATATCCTCAAGTCAAAAAGTATTAGGGTGAGAAACTCTTATAATACACGAGGTTGCTTGAACCATTAGTTACGTGTTGTCGATTAGGTGTCTTAACCTAATAGTTGAGCTATGATTTGAATTAATATGTTTTAAATCTATGATCCTCAAAAGTTAAAAGTGCTAGGTTGGTTTTAATGAATATGTTTTAGATATATGATCTTCAAAAGTTAAAAGTGCTAAGTTGAGAAGTTCTTGTAATACACGAGATTAAGCATATATTATATCACATTTAAAATGAGTTTTAATTTGTGTGTGTTTTTTAGTACGATAGGGGAGTGAAACTTAAAATTTACAAATTTATTAGTGAGGGATAGGAGCCTTAATTTAACCAATTGAACTATATAACTTTAATGGGCATTTATATGATATTAGTTTTAAGACTTTGGGTTATTGGCCCGTGAGAGAATTTTTGTATGATTTTTATTTAAGAAATAAAATAAAAATGAGTTATAAATAAAAATGAGTTATCAAATGCCAACATGATGATAGTTCATTGCTAATTATCACATATTACAAAATACTTTTATTTATCTAAAACATGGTATCATAGTATCTTGGTGGGACATTAAGCAAAAATTATTCATTCTGGCTGCTCCATGATTAAACATTTTACTTCAAAATCTATTTACCCTAATAATATCGTTTGATACAAATTCAAAATACTAGATTGCTCCCTAATTAAACACTTTGCTTCAGAATCTATTTGTCCCTATTAATCTTTGGATACAAATTCAAAAAACTTTATATCTCATATGAAATCATCAGCCACATATTCCAGTATCCTTAAATAATTTTTCCCTATTTTGCTGGGATTCTTTTTATCCTAGAAAAATCTAATTTTTAATTATTTTAAATAAAAAATTTAATAAAATACTAGAAATATACTAAAATGTCTCCTTTAAAACTTCATAAACCAAATATAAACCCAATTACAAAATTTGATACCTCAAATTTTATTTTACTCTGTTTTAATTTTACCATTTTTATTATTTATAAATTTTAGATATTACATTTTAAATATAATTTAATTAAAAATTTTAAATAATTTAATCTCGTTTTAATGGGAAGGTTTATAATTGATATCCATGCAAATGTTGAGATCTCTAATCATATAAAAAAATTAGGGTTTGTGTTTCTTATTTTCTTATCACGCTCTCTCATCTCTCTCCCCTCCCAGCCTCTCTGTCTCTTGCTCTCCCGACTCAAACAGTTTCTGTAGGACTTCCATGATGGAAATCCCTGTAATCGGCCAGCATTGTAGCGGTAATTTGGTTCAATTGTTCAGATGATATGTCTGAGAGCATTTGTCAAAATCACTTCACTTTTCATTAATAATGGAGATTGAGATTTCAGATTTGTTGGTGCTCTCCGAATAGGGAAGAAGGGGAGGAGGACGAGAGGGAGAATAAAATTGAAATTTTTGTATTAACAGGTATTTGAACTTCAATAAACTTCTTCGTTTTCAATTTTGTGGTATATATTAAATATAAAATTGAAAGATGATCACTTCCTTTCCGTTTAGAAGGAAATTATATGTCCATTTATTGCACAAATGGTCTATATCTTTTGTGTGCACCCTTCTAAATGTTGGCAAAATTTATGAAAATAATTTAATTTTTCATCCCAGCTCACTTTTATGCGATTTTTTTTATCAAAATTTTTCTTCCCTCCAGATGTGTTACACAATCTTCATTTGTCACACAAAGTATTCATTGTTTTTGCTAAATAAGAATATGTTATTAAAATATATAAGTTACCGCAACTAACATTAAGTGATACAATTATATGTTTATAAGTTTGGGTCTCAAGGGTGGCTTGGGATCCTCAAAAAAATATTGAGTTCCAAACAATGGCCGTAGGTATGGGGACAAATTTTACTCCCCACCTTTTCAAAACTTACTTTTTCTGAAATGTCAAAACAAATAAAAGGATTATTATACCCTTCTCATTTTCTTTCTCTATCTCTTTCTCTTGTTTTTCTGGTTTTTTTCCTCTTTTTTTGGATTTTTTTCTCTTATCCTATGGGGATTGAGATACCACTCAAATCTACCATGATTTTTTTTTATTTAGATTTATTGAAATTAAAATAGAATACATTAATATGGAAGAATGTTAGTAGGACAGGACGACTTGAACATAGTTGGGGTGTGGATATTTGAATAATTATAAATTCAAAATATCTCCCTCCTCCCCCTCTACCTTCGTCTCTTGCTCTCCCGACTCGAAACAGGTTCTGTATGACTTCGCATTCGTAGCAGTAATTTGGTTCAATTTCTCCGATGGTGTCGCCACCGGCAAGATCTACTCCACAGATTTGGGATTTCGAGCTCACTAGGGTTCATGGATTTGTTCGGATCCAACGGAGAAGGGGAGAAGAGTGGAATGTAACTCAACAAAAAATAAAAGTTCTCACTTCCCACAAATGAACACCTTTCAAAACTTATTTTTATTACTTAATAAATGCTTTTCTGAAACATCAGGGCAAATAAAAGGATTATTATACCCGTACTCATTCTTTTCCTATCTCAATCTTGTTTTTCGGTTTTCTTTCTTTTTTTCACCTATTCTATTTTTTTATTTCGATTTTCGTCGGCTTTATTTGAATATACCACTCTAATATTGAATGATTTTTTATTTGGGTGTGTTGAAATTAAAATGTTTATAAATGTACTGTTTAGAACCATTTTAGATTAACCTACTTTCAAACTAGCATAGTTCAACCTTATACTTTTTCAATCAAAATATTAGAGTTTGAATCGTATCTTAAATGTGTCAATACATGAATATATTAGTAAGTCATTAATATCGACGACTTCTACACTTGATTGCCAAAAGCCCTCGCATGGCGATCCAAATTCCACCAAACTAAGACTTTTGGCATTTCGTCAGGACGATGAACATCATTGTTGTAATCGAAAGTGTGGACTTTCGACAATGAAAGTGATGTTCGTCGTCGAAAGTGTGGACTTTCAGAAACGAACATCACTTTCGTCGCCGAAAGGTACCTTTGGCAACAAACTTGCTTTGAGTCGGGACTCGTTGCCAAAACTTTAAATTCTAATCAGCCTCCATCACATTCGCAGTGGTAATTTGGTTCAATTGCTCGAATGAGTTGTTGCTGGCAAGATCTCGATTACCAATTTATGAGGTTGGGATAGGGACAGATTTGACAAGCTGAAATCAATTCTTAACATAGATAGCGAATGGAACGAGATTATGGGAGATTGGGATTTCGAGGTTGCTAGGGTTCACGAATATGGCCAGATTTGACGGGAAGAAGGTTTTAATTCCTATCTCTAGTTGGTCACTTTATTTTGGGGCAACTTGAGATATGGCAAAAAAAAAAAAATGTTAGAAAAATAAGCAAAATAGCAACAAGGTTGGATTTTTCAAATATAGCATTTTTTTATTTTTTTTGCAAAAAAACGGAGACCCATGTTCAAAATTACAAGTATACCCTATAGGCTCGAACCAACCGATTACTTCTGATATACTGATTGACTTCTGATATACTATTGATTTACTTATGATATAACTATGATTGACAGATATACTCTTGATATATATGTAATATATGTTTGATATACATATGATATGAAATTGATTTACTTCTGATATAACTATGATATCTACTACTATAGGTGATATAGAACTTATTGGCTTATGATATACTATTGATATACTTCTTATATAAATATCATATCTACCAATTATTTCGAACATATTACTTCTAATATATTTTCTGATATGCTACTAATATATGGAATAAATTTTTTTTTCAGATAAAAGCAATGGTACAAACATGAAAAATGAAATAAAAAAACATCGTTGAAAATGTTGATGTCGTTTGTCCCAAAAGACAACATAAACCAACGCCAAAAGTGTTGTCTATGGAAAAATGGAAAGCTTTAAAGAAATTATCTCCGAAGACACGACAATCACCAAGAACGAAGATTGATGTCCCAAGCTTTTACCTAGAGAATATAGAATGAAACTTACGCTTTTCTAGACTGTTGGAATTTATGCTTCTGGAACTCATGCTTCTTCTTTTATAGAATTTTAAGAATGACATTGTTAGTCTACTTTTGGTTTATGCTACTGGTTCGTTTTGATGTTTAAACTTTTAAGTTTTTGGTTGAAGGACTTTGCTGCTGATTTGATGTTGATGTTGATGTTGATACCCAAGAATGATATTTAAACCTTTTAAGAATGACATTGTTGGTGATTTTGCTTTGATCTTAAAACTTTAAATAAAACTTAATTGTACTACTGATATATGTACGATGTATACTTGATATATCACTGATATATTATTGATAGACAGAAAAACCCTAAGTTTCTATTTACCTCTAGTTTCTAATTGATTGCTCATTCATCTTCTTCCCTTCGATTTCTCATTCACAGTAAGTTTGAAAATCACCATTGACGTTCACATTTACGTTCCTTTCAAGTTTTCTTTCCCATTTTCAGTAAGTATAAATTTTTTTTCTCATTTTCCATGCATGTCAATACCTACTGATTTCTAATTGATAAAAAAAAATACAAGACAGAGGATTAAAGCAGGTAAAATAGTGATTTACTATTATAGAACAGATTGATTTCTGATATACTATAGATATACTCCTGATATGTATGTGATATATGTTTGATATATAATAACGAAAAGAAATTGGGAAAATTTATATGCAATAGGTAATTTGAGAATACTGAAAATTTTAAAATCAAGATTCTAAAAAAAAATGTTATATCTAAAAATATCAAAAAGGCATGTTATTTTGTCCGGATGTTAAGCTAGTGTCAGCTAATTTCTCCATCTTGAGGGTTTTCTCAAAATTGAACCAACTATATATTGCTATATATTTAAAACAAAATAAACAAATTTAACAAAGGTTTTAACACGGTTGTCGATCATAAGGTGATCTTTTCAATCTCTAATCTCGTTTAATTTTTTTGTCACTATCATTTGTTTCCTTGACTTTCTTATAGAAGAAACAAATTATAGTAACTTTATTCTTTTATAGGTGTTGAGTGGAAATTCTTTGATTTCACTAAGTTAGAGGATCACTTCTTTTTAAAATAACGATCCCAAATAACACAATCATAAAAATATCTATAGCTAGGTTGTCTTTTTAGCAGGCTTGGTATAAATTTAGGCACGAACACGGTTAGAAAAAAAAACATCCAACTAATACTATCTCAATTACCAGAGAAAATATTTGTTAACGAATTCCTCGTCGAGTTCTAGTTTAAATTAATGCATAACTAATACAATTGGAACTCACAACTTGGAATAGATAAACTAATCTAAAATTTCTAAACTAGAAAAAGAAATTATTATCGAATTTACATGGGTTCACTCAATATCAACTATTATTATGGATAATATTTCCAATTTACCATCGTTAACCGCCGGTTTTAGCTAAAATAGTGAATGCGTTCTGATACTATAAGCGAAATTCATTACAGTTGGATTTTGCTTAATCTTGATTTTGGCAGTAGTGTTATCCAATTATATCTAAACCATACATTTTGGCTCTTTCCAATCATTTTAGCCGCACTCTGTCTCGGCGGAGAGAGTTGTCCAAATATTAAGCTAGATTTTCCGCACTAATTTCTCCATCTCTAGTCCAACTGCTGTATATTCACAAAATGAATTTAGCGAAAGCTTTAACCTCCTCTGTTGCAGTCCAAAAGGTGATTCTTTCATCACCCATTGCTAATCTCTTGGCCCTCTTTATCAAAATTTTCGTTGGATTTCTCAGAAGCCTAAGAAATTAGAATGACTTCGTTTGTGTTTTGTGATGGGTAGCTAAATGAAGAGCTATTGGTGGTCGTAGGAGGTGGAGCAGCAGGTGTTTATGGCGCCATTAGGGCTAAAACCCTGGCCCCCAATCTCAATGTCATGGTTATAGAGAAAGGAAAACCTCTTTCCAAGGTTCTGAATTATCACCGAATTTCGACTTCTTTTTTTTTCCCCCTAGTCTGAGAAGCATTTCGTTTCTCTTTCTTTGCTAATGGGTAGGTCAAAATTTCTGGAGGAGGTCGGTGCAATGTGACGAATGGACATTCAACCGACTCAAAGGTGAGGGATTTTTCGTCAGGTTTTTTCTTACTTATCTATTGATAATTAAGAACAGAGAATGCATATAATCTGTTTGATCATTATGTTCTTTTAGAGTTTGGCAGAGCATTACCCTAGAGGCCATAAAGAATTTAGGGGCTCCTTCTTCAATGTTCACGGTCCAATGGATACAATGTCCTGGTTTTCCAATCACGGAGTTGAACTGAAGGTGTCTTTTTTTCTTCTCTCTTTCTAAGCTATTGATCTCTTGCTTCCTTCTTTGACATATATGTGAATAATTTGTTTTAATTGTGAATAGATTGAGGATGATGGAAGGGTTTTTCCTGTCAGCAACTGTTCTGCTTCCATAGTTGATTGTTTGATGTATGAAGCAACACGTGTTGGAGGTTTGTTAATTTACTGTCTACTGTTGAATTTTTTTCTTTTTAATCTACTGTTCTGTTCTCAGCATTCAATATGTCGTAGATTGACTAGTTTCACGCATCCTTTATTTGAAATCTCTAGTGCAGCACAATAGTTCATGAAAATATTTTTATGCTGAGTTCTGAACTCTTTTACCAGTTTCCTTGCAGACTGGAAAAGTTGTTACAAGTGCATCGACTAGTAGTGGTGGGAAGTTCGTCTTGAAGATTCAAAAGATCGTTGTTGAACATGTTGAAGCAAACTATTTATTGATTGCTAGTGGAAGTAGTCGGCAGGTTGCAACTGATGTCTGGTTTTTGTGCTTGGATGTGTTAGGATGGGATTGATCCCTAAAACTTTGTTAGTTTTGTCAAGGGCTTTAGTCTTGCTGCTCAGCTTGGACATTCTCTTATAGACCCAGTGCCTAGCCTATTTACTTTCAAGATTGAAGATCCCCAGTTGGCAGAGTTGTCAGGGGTAAGCTCCAATCTCTTTCCAGATCGGTTTCTTTTTGTACCACTTAGTTTCAACCGCAAGAAAATAATTTGTTATACGATTTTTTTGTGCATGTTTTCTCATGTCTTCGCCTGCTAGAGCCAAAATGCCTTTAAAATGTGCTATACGGAGTGCAACTAGTGGCATCAAACATCCCTATCTCGTGTTTTAGTTTTTCACATGCTTTTTCACCCTTAGCATTTTTAGCTGGACACTGGTAATTGCAACTTTAGTTAATCATTTAATTTTCATGTTCACAACCGCACTATAAGGCTTGACGTTGTATTTTGGGATACCAATTACTAATCCAACTTTCATTTGCAAATATCTGCTCCTTGCCTTTAACAATGCTCAATATTTCATCATGAAAGAAGGATGTAATAGTCTCTACTTTTGGTATAACTTATATTGTTTGCTTGTGCTTTTTTTCAACTTATAATTAGAATGGGATTATTTGATTACCCTTGATCATCAACATCATAAATCAAGAACTTTTGAGATCATCTTGCAATAAGAACTATATGATAGCTGGCATTCTGTTCTTTATTTTTGAAGCAATAGTATAGTACTAGAACAGTAGTAACACCATCTTCTGTTCTTATCTAATTATATGTCATTGTTCAGGTCTCGTTCCCTAAGGTCAGGGCAAAACTCGAGTTAGAAAACATGCAGAGGCATCTTCCACAGTATACGCAGGCAAGTTCTTCTCTACGCAGTGGATTAAATGCACAAAATGCAGTGACATCCCAACTTTTTTTTTTTCATGTTTAGGTTGGGCCTATGCTTGTCACACATTGGGGACTGAGTGGACCGGTAATTCTTCGGTTATCTGCTTGGGGAGCCCGTGACCTATTCGCTTCAAATTATAAAGGTTTCTTAAATTCCTTATTTGAAGATTAAAATATTAAATTTTCTCTGCTAATAATATTTGAGTGTAGGCCTGCTCATTGTGGATTTTACACCTGATTTGCATTTAGAAGATGTCAAGTCAATCCTTAGCCGGCACAAATCTCAGTTTATGGTATTCCTGGATCATATACCATTCATGCAAGTTCCTAGATTATTCCATTCCAGTAATATCTAATTCTTGGTTTTTCATCCATACATCATTTCTTTAATGGTATCTCATAACTTCTCATTTAAATAACTCTGCTTCCTCTCATTTATTGTATAGTTTATAACAATTATTTGATAACTCCCCTGTGCTTTCAACACATTTGCAGAAGCAAAAAGTACACAGTTCATGTCCTTCAGATTTTGGCCTTGTGAAAAGATTCTGGAAATATTTGTTGGATCGAGAGGTTTCGTCGCAATTTCCCATTATAAGATCATAATAGTAACGGTATAGTTTTGTAGTATTTCCCCTTGCCAATTAGATATTTCTTCTCTCATGGCCAGGAAATACATGATGAGATCTTGTGGGCTTCAGTCTCAAACAAATCATTAGCTTCCGTTTCTTCTCTGTTGAAGAAGTGCATATTTAAAGTCTTGGGAAAGGTACATATGTTGTGTTAGCATTTCCATTTGAATGCCATAGCCTTTTTTTTTCAGATTTTATAAGCTTTCTCTTCCATGAAGGGTCAATTTAAAGATGAATTCGTCACTGCCGGAGGCGTTCCGCTGTCGGAGGTTTCCTCTCTATCTCACTCTCTCAAAAAGAGAATAAGAAAAGAAAACACCTACAAACTTGCAACTGTTTTACTCTTTTTTCTCTCTGTCCTGTCTAGATCTCACTGAAAACAATGGAGAGCAAAATTCATTCTCGCCTATTCTTCGCGGGAGAGGTAATTAATATAACTACTTTTGGTTATCAATACATAAGAAAACACAGCAGAGACTTCCTTGAGATTCTATTCTGTTGCATTGTAGGTGCTAAATGTCGATGGTGTAACTGGTGGTTTCAACTTTCAGGTTAAATTTAGTGTCGTGTTTAACAACGGCCTCTACTCATTGATCTATAATATATGTCTTAACCAATTGAGTTGTATTTAGGTTGATAAATGTATATATGATTTATTTATGAGAAAAAATTATGGAGCTCCACCTTTTTTTCCTTTTGCAGAATGCTTGGTCCGGTGGGTATATAGCTGGAACTAGCATTGGCAAACTTGCAAATGGTGGTCTTCTAGGGAGGGGTGATGTAGGCAATGTGGCATAAGCATTTTTTTTTCACCAGTTTTAATGAATTTTTTTTAAAAATATATTAATTTTGTCTTCAATATTAAATTTAATTGTTAAGCATTATGAGTTAGACAAACTCTACAAAATTCAGAGAGAATAGAATTCAAACTATGGTATTGGTGGGTAGTTATCTAAGATTTAATATCCTATGAATTTTTTAGGCAACTATTAAATTATTGCATAAAAATAGATATGTTTAATAATATTATTGTTCAGTATTTAATTATGATTTTTCGATATATGCTTTTCTTTTTCAATATAGATTCAGAAAATATATATCTTAGTTAGTTAAATGAAGATATATATTTTACTTGAAAAGTCTAAATATTTAGACAGAAATAAAAAAAATCTCCTAAAAAGTCAAGTACTCGTGTCTTATGAAAATAAATTAAAAAAGAAAAACTTTTCAAGACATAAATAGGAGGCTAAGTTATTTTAGTATTTAATTATGATTTTTCGATATTTCAACACAGGTTTGGTTTGAAATTTTGCATGCCCACCTAGGACACGGGAAGTTGAAGTTTTCCATTAGTCGTGGCTATAGTAAACATTTGTTTTTTTTAATTAATATTATTTTAAAAAATAATGACATTAGGTTAGAGATTATTTTTAAAAATAGGGTAGTAAAATTGCAATCAAAATAAAATGTGCAACTACTATCTTACTATTTTAACTTAAAAATAGATTTGTTGTCTATTTGATCTAATTATTGCTTGGAACTTTTAGTATTTTTATTTTTAAGTTATATTTGTCCTACATATTGGTGATATCTTTTCTATACATTATTGTATTACTTACAATGTATGAGATTTCTCTTGCTAACTCATCTTACCGTAAAATCATTAAAACATGTGTTGCCATGTATTTTAGAATTATTTTTCAATAATTTACATTGTATATTCAGGAGTAATTATCATATAATTTAATACAATATATGCCAAGTGTACGAGAGATAGTAAAATTTTAAAAAATATTAATAACAGTTGACCTTGCTTTATATTTATGAGATCACATAACTTGATAAGTCAAATTATTTGGACCATAAAACAATAGCATTTCTAGAAAGTCAAATATACTTGAGTCTCGTGGAAATAAATAAAACTACTTTTGAAGACTTCAAAGTAGTAAGTTATTTTAATATTTAGTCATGAATTTTCAATATTCAACCTATGTTTGGTTTGAAAATTTGCAAGCCCACCTAGATTATTAGGAATGCCAAATTTTTCATTAGCCCATCACTAGTGTTAATATTTTAAAGAAAAATAAATTGTCAAAATAGTGATTATAAACTCATTAACATATTTGGCAATGTAATATTTTTTAATTATCTTTTAGTAATATATGTATGTATATGTATATGATTGTATAAATTTAGGTGGTAAAATAGGGAAAAACTATAAAAGTTTAAATATTTTATATATACCTTTTAACCTTTTTGAGTGATGACAAAGTAGGTAAGTGACACCCTTAGTATTGATTTTGATCCAACTCAAAATAATTAATTCTCACCATATACATTAAATCTCTAGTGATGACAAAGTAGGTAAGTGACACCCTTATTATTGATTTTGATCCAACTCAAAATAATTAATTCTCACCATATACATTAAATCTCAAAATACTTTTTCTAAAATGTCTATTTATAAATTAGTAATTCGTATGTATTTCTCGGTATCAAATGTTGTAGAATCAGACGGGTTGTCCCATGAGATTAATCGAGGTGCGCGTAAACTGGCTCTGACACTCACGGATATAAAAGAAAAGTCTATTTATGAAAAGTTTTATATTCCCATAATTCTTCATTTATTTTACATTGTAAATGATTGTGTCGAGAATAGATAAACAAAAAGTACTTATATATTATCAGTTATCATCAATAATCATTATATTATTTTAAATTATTTAAAAAATTCCCTTTTTTATGGCGATATAGCAGCTAAAATGAAAAACGGCTTATTAACGTTATACAAAAGTTGAACCTAATACATCTATAAACATTAAAATATATATATATATATATATATATATATTTTTTTTTAATTCAGGATCATAATTGAAATAGTCAACATTTGGATAAGAAGAAAATCATAATATGAATGAGGACGATGATGGTAGAAAACTTACCATAATTGACAATATGCCTTCCAACTAAGATCATTCCAACAAAGATACCAAAATTTGTTGAGTTGTCATATTTGTAAATCATAAATCTGCATATAAATATTATGCACCTCAATTATTGAAAATACCCAATTCATATTTCGATCGAACGGATAGATTTACCTTCTACAAGATGGCAAGGTTTTTTTGCTCCCTCTTTTTCCTTGTCCTCGTTTTCTCAGGTTTGTTTCATCGACTTTATTAGTGTAGCAATGTTTTAAAATTTGCAATTTGGTGAGAAAAAAAGATAAGATTAACGACTTTTGGCACTATGTGATATACATTTAAAAATTTTCACAGGTGCATTGATGATGACTCCTCAAAGAGCCAATGCAAAACAATGTTATGAGAAGTTGTATGGATTTATATGCGAACCTCTTGAATGCCGTCAAAAATGCAGAGAGAAGCACCCTAATTCATCATTTGAATGCGTTCCAACTCCTAATAGCTCCTTTAATTATAAGCTATGCTATTGCTTCTTTGATTGTGCAAGAAATTAGTTATCCTTTTTTTCCACACAGCTAATCAAATGGTAATTTAGTAATTTCCCATATTTTGTCAAGATGGTTGGATTAGTTATGCAACTTTGAATCGCATGAATTTAATTTTATTCTCAATTTTCATATTCAACCAAAAAAATAAAAAATATTCTCCATTCCTTTGATGGAGCTCCAAGGCATATTTGGAGTAGGACGCTTATAATTTTTCTTTACTATTACTAACATTGATGCTATACAATAACGAGTTAAAATATTCATAATATGTGATACGATAGTTGTAGTGTTCACAAATTTGCTTGAGGGATAGCTTGAGTGGTTTTCGATCTCAAAAAAATATCATTGAGGTTTGTGTTCAAGTCACGTGGAATGCACAACCCCAACCAAGTAACCTAACGTATGGGCGAGTACAAGGACATAACCTGACTTGAACACATGAAAAAAATAAAGATATATGAAAACTCGTAACGTCTATTTGGCATATAAAAGGAAAAAAAAAGTTTAAAACACAGGTTAATTTTGAAGTGCTAATGTACGTACAAATGTTACATTTATTAGTGGTCGTGTTTCAGCAAATAGTCTTTTTTTTTTTTAAATAATTATAAACACAATCCATTGGCCATTGGAAAGTTGTAATTGATAACCGGTCACTGTATAAAGTTGCTATTATAATATCAATACATCTTCTAAAATCCTAGACTGAGCTAGAGCTTCTACATTTATTTCAAAAATCAAAAGTAACCAAACCTAGTATTTATTTAATTAAAAATATTTTCCAAAAAATATTTAAAAAAAACCAACAGTATTATGATATATTACATCACGGTTATCAACTCCACTAAAGGCAATACATGCAATATTATATTATAACATTAACAAGATCTAAGATGTGGGTTATTAAAAAATAAAAATACCCCACAATACATACAGAGAAAGTAACATTAAATAATGATTATCTAGTGCTGTTCCATTTGTATTATTTGTGTGATGAAGAATATGGCTTCTGATCGATTAGACATTGGTCTGACAGTTCCAAATCAAACCTAACGAAAAATTAGGTTTACAATATAAAATATTCCATTTGTTCAAAGTTCTTTTAATAGATTAAATTAATAAATTTATTATCTTATATCAATTTAATTATTGAAATGGTCCCCCCATCAGGCAATCCAACTAATCAATGCATTAAGAATATTTTTCAAAAGTCGTATGTTCAAAATTGTATTGCTAATACCTTTCCAAACAAAAAAAAAATTTGTATTGCTAATATTTAAGATTAATAAAAAAATATTTAATTACAATATTTTAGAAAAGCTTCTACATTCAATATGTATTATTATTAATAAAATAATTGATATGAGTATAAATAAATTGGTCAATACATCACTTATCTTCTTGAGTGTTGGAGTTCAAATCATCCTCTATCTACTTGTTGTACTAAAAAAAATCATCAATAAAATAAATTGATGGTAAATACTAATTAATTTAATATGATTGCATGACTGTAATAATACTTCTAATTGTCTACTTTTATCTTTTATGTGATAATACATTAATTAATATAACATACCACCCCTTGCGTGCATGACTTTTGAAGTCGAGGAAAGTAATTGTCAAGGTAATAAAGTTTATTTTTCTTAACTTTTTCTCAACAAAGTTTATTTTTTCTAAAAAAAAAGAAGAAAAAAAAGAAGAAAGAAAAATCAATCGTACCACTTGCATTGAAAAGGTACACTACCTAATTACTTGAACCATGTGAGTTTAAAACTGAAAAAATGTAACTGAAATATTTTAAAGAAATTAATAGGTTTAGCTTGGCGGATATGATTTTGAAAATAAATAAAAAAGACCATATTTCTTCTTTAATTAAGAGTCTCAAATAGCATTGAATGTGGTTGAATGTATTGTGACTTTAGAGAATGTGTTTTGTAAGTTGAAATGTATTATTATTCCTTGTTTTTTTGAACATGCAAGCTGTTTTATAGACAAACTATATTATTTTTGATTGTTTATGTAATTTGAAATAATTATTTATTTTTTGCTGATCACCCTTACTCGAGTCATGTCTCTTTGATTTTAGAAAAACCAAAATGATAATTTATTTTGTGTTTAGAATTAGGATAAACCACATGGGGGAATGACAAAGACAGCACAGATAACAAGAGTCTGTTAAAAATGAGCCCATCGCTTTACGCAAAACCCCAAGAAACACACCGTATGGTGGCTGGTTGAGTGCCCCTTTCCGAGCCCTTTCCACGTCCCCACCATATGCAAATAAAATAAAAATAATACAAACCAAAAAGTGAAAAAAAAAAGTAAGAAAAAGAAAAAGAAAAAAGAAATAGAAACCAAATCATCCCTTTCTAAAGAATTTGTTTGCATATTCCGGAATCCGGAATCAAGACACTTATATTCATGTATCCATTTCTCTTCTCTGCGACTGTTATGGCGCTTTCAGCTTTTTCTCTCGCTTTTTAGGACTTCCGTTTTATCTCGGTCGTTAGCGTCTCCAACTTCCG